GCCTAAGCCAGCAGGTCGTTATCTCCCGAGGGGTCCCAGACTGTGAGAGGGCACAAGTGGGGCTGAGGGACACTCCCCCCACCCCCGCCAGTGCACAAATTTTTGTGCACCGGGCCTTTAGTTATAATTATAATCTCATAGAGTAATATGAAAAAGTGCCACATCTGACTAGGAAACAGTGGGTATTCCAAAACTATTTTAAAAAACGAAACCCATTGACTATTGTGTTTCTGAAGGATATGAAACTTAACCTTTTTTTTTTTAAGGAAATAGTATTCTCCCTTGGTTCACAGGGTGCAAAAGAAGTTAATTTCTCCTTAAAAAAAAATGTTTTAAAATAAAAAAAGCTCTGTTCTAGGCAATCAATTACCCTCCTGATGTAAATTTTTTATGTCATTAGAAAAACTGAAATGTGTATACTAAACAGAAATTACAAAAGGAAATAAGGAAACAAGAATTAGAGAGCACCCTAAACCATTTGCCTCAATGGATAGAGCGTCAGCCTGCAGACTCAAGGGTCCCAGGCTCGATTCCGGTCAAGGGCATGTACCTTGGTTGTGGGCACATCCCCAGTGGGGAGTTTGCAAGAGGCAGCTGATCGATGTTTCTCTCTCATCGATGTTTCTAACTCTCTATCCCTCTCCCTTCCTCTCTGTAAAAAATCAATAAAGTATATTTTTAAAAAAAAAGAATTAGAAAGCAATCCCTTTGACCCTGGCCAGGTGGCTCAGTTGTTTGGAGCATCTTCCCGAACACCAAAAGTTTTCTGGTTCAATCCCCAGTCAGGGCAAGTACTTTAATGTTTCTCTCTCTCTCTCTCTCTCTCTCTCTCTCTCTCTCTCTCTCAAAGTCAATAAAAAATATCCTCGGGTGAGGATTTTAAAAAAAGTTTTTAAAGCAATCCCTTTGACAAGTTATATAATTGTCTAATCACTGGGTTGTACACCTGAAACAAATATAATATTGTACATCAACTGTAATTGAAAAATAAAAAATTATTTAAAAATATATACAGCAGACCCTAATGATAAAGCATAAATAAGTAAAAACCTCAGCTATTGTTTTTTTTAAAAAGCAATCCCTTTGAAAACATAAAACAGATCATTAACTAGCACTGCCAGCAGGTGG